TTCCATTTGTAAAGATGCTAATGGAAACCTGAAATTCACCTCATGAATGGAACATATTATTATGTCTAAGAAATGTGGAAGAATACGCCTCTCAACAGCAAATAGAGGGCCCAGCAGGTATATTTCCAGAGAGCCTCCCTACTAGAGGGTGGCAGCTTGCCCTCACTTTGCCTGTAAGACAGGAATAGGTGGCAGGATATTCTTCCTATTGGGTGTTTGCCAAGAATGTGTATTTTTTAAAAGAGGGGTGATTAAACTTTTAGAAATCCATTTGTCTGCAAAATCAGCCAAGAGTACTTCTTGAAAATTATAATCACAACAAGTTTTGGAAACAACCTGACCCACTCAGCCCAAAGCAAGAGAAAAACAAAATTTGTTTTGGTCCAATACCCTCATTCTAAGGATAAGGATAATAAAGCCACGTCAAAAACAAAACAAAACAAAACATGGCAAATTTTGTTTTTTAATATGCCACTCACCCCACCACATTCAGGGTAGTCAGAGAAAAATACTGATAGAAAACTGCTTTTTGAGTTGTTCTTATTGATTTCTTTGTGCAAACAAAACAATGCTTTTGCCAAACCGTTAATGTTGCGTATAAAAATTTTTGGAGCCATTCCAATGCTCCACTTCTTAATGACTGTCAGGTCACCACTGTGAACATTTAAAGTATTTCTTTACTATACCTTGTGTTGTGTTTGTGTGGGAGCCTGACAATTTCTTCCTTCATAACTTGGAATTTGTTAAACATGTACACAGTTTAAACCAAGGGGAAAACACAGTCGTTTTAACCTTTGATGAAAACTCACTCAAAAAAGCCATTTTAGATCTGTTGAGAATAACCTGAAAATAATTATTTTACATTTTTTATAATAAGCTAGTCTTATCTTCTTTACTACTCAATTTTTTAAGTCGGCTTTTTATGAATGTACATATCTGAAGACTAACAACACATGAGATGATCTCTTTGTGTTTAAATTTATCTGATAAAATTTAGGGGAATCAGGACTTAAATTTTGTCTATGTATGTGTGATGTGGGGGAAGGTGTATATGTGACTATTGCTGCCTGTCTGTCACAGGTTCTCATTGGTTAATGAATTAGAGCTCTAGGGACTCTAAGGAAAGGGATAGATAGTACAGATGAATAAAATTTTCCTGTTAAATATAGTATTGTAAATAGTATAAACTTACTGTAGAAAGTCAGAAAAGAAGAATGAAAGAAAATCACCTAAGAATTGTACTATGTAGAGATCTGCAAGATTAACATTTTGAGTAATCCCATAGCCTTTCATCAGTTAATGCTCAGGTGCTGTTTTTGGCTGGAGAAGGAAATGGCAACCCATTCCAGTATTCTTGCCTGGGAAATTCCATGGACAAAGGAATCTGGCAGGCTACAGTTCCATGGGGTCACAAAGAGACATGATTGAGTGACAAAACAACAAACAACAAGGCTAGTAAGGGTACTTAATCTTGTAGGTTATTTCAGGATGTAGACACCCAACAAACTACTAAGTCAATCACTCCATGTGTACCTGGCAATAGTGAAAGGAAAAGTGTTCACTGTCCAGGAATCCACCATACCATTTCTAGAAATTGAATGGTTTGTTCCAGAAATACCATTCAAATAACTGTCTATCCATAGGTAAAACTGTCAACCCTACTTGTAGCAGGTACGTGGTAACCTACAAGGACATACTTTCATAAGTTAATAAAATAAGTGAGGTAAATGCAAACAGTAACAGAAGACCTGGGGTGGATCCCAGGGTAGAGTACAGTGTGTTAGTCCCTCAGTCATGTCTGACTCTTTGTGACACCATGGACTGTAGCCCACCAGGCTCCTCTTTCCATGGGGGTTTTCCAGGCAAGAATATCGGAATGGGTTGTCATGCTCTCCTCCAGGGGATCTCCCCAACCCAGGGATCGAACCCAGGTTTCCCGCATTGCAGGCAGATTCTTTATCGCTGAGCCTGGCACATGGTTTCTCTCTACCTGACTTCACCACTCTGAAAGAAGGCTGTTGACACCCTCTACCAGGCATGATGGTTGCTGACATCCATTTCCATGTGCAGCACAAGGAGGCTCTCAATAACTGGAAGATGTTACGTAATGCGCCACCATTTGAATAAAAGCCTGGGAAACAGGATTTGTAACAAAAATATGGGAAATATAAGTTTTGAAAGCTGAAAATCAAATTTTAACACTTAGTTCATTCCCAAGATGTTTGTTGTTAGGAGGGCAAAACACAAAATTTCAAAAAGGGGGGGAATGAATGGTGGTGGAATTGACCACATATTTATGATGGCAGCATTTTATTCCATGTAGATGACCTCAATTAAGTTGATTTCATCAAAGAATAAGTCTGTTAACAAATGAGCTCTAAATTTCCCTGCAACTGTAAAATAACATTATCTTCCACAGTCAGGTGATTTGCCCAGGGTTAGTAACCATGCCAGATTACCAGCTTGAATGATCAAGCTACTGAGATAGCTTTAGAAATATGATGATAAAAAGCATATTTAATTCTGATTGAAGATGCAAACACCTCTTCACTGAGAGTTCATAATTAGCTCTGTATCAACCATGTTTGTGAATTCTCATTGCAGAGTACCTCAAAGTAAGCTGGTAGAGTGTACAATGCAATGAAATGGAAAGATGGCTGAGGTACATTTCCTTTAGGTGAGTAAAAAATGATTACAAAAAGAATGATTCAACTTTTGTAAAAATGTTTGTATAGAGAGAAATTTTTGAGGATACCTGCTAGATGGTTACACATTAGTTAGCTAAGAGGTGGGTAACAGATGATTTATCTTTTCTTTTTTTGGTAGCTTATTTATATTGTTTAAACATTTAAAAATTTGAACAAGTATTGATTATATAATAATTATAATTTTTCATCTTTTTGTGCATATGGAATCTTAGCTCCCTGAGCAAGGATCAAACCCATGCCCCTTGCAGTGGAAGCTCAGAGTCAATCCCTGAACCACCAGAGAAGTCCCTCTCATTTTAAAATAAAAGTCAAGTAAAATTTTATAACTAAAGATCACTGTGATTAGAACAGGAAAAATTACAAGCGGGTTGAGCCCCTGTAAACCAGAGGTTATAATCAGTAGGTCCAGTTTAAATAAGCTCTTTACTGAAAGATTTCAAGTTTGTCTTGAAAAATCCAGAGTCTTGAGAGCACTGGGCTAGGATGACCAGCTCCCTCAGCACAGCCACTGCCTACTTCAGATGAAGTCTCATTCTCTCATTTACCAAAACGTAAGCATTCACGTTTTCCACCTGTGGTCTTAACAATGCAGCATAAAAGCCAGAAACCTTCTGCAGGGGCTGAAAATGTAGCACTTGAAGATTAGTTGATCCTGATTTTCCTTCAGTTTTTAAAAGTGTGTGTGTGCACATATGTGCCTCTACACACACACACACACACACACACACAAATACACAAACTCTTACTGTGAGACTGGGCTGACATAATATTACTTGTATAGAGTATCTCTGGCTAGTAGAATTTTAAGTGACTTTTCTTTTACACACTTTGGCTTTTTTCCCCGCAGATTTTCTAGAAGGAACTTCTACCATTTATATTTTTCTTTATGTTTAATCTTTTATTTTATATTGGAGGACAGTTGATTAATAAGATTGAGTTAGTTTCAGGTGTACAGCAGAGTGATTTAGCTATACATGTCACTATATCTATTATTTTTCAATTTCTTTTCCCATCTAGGTTATTACAGAATATTGATCAGAGTTCCCTGTGCTACACAGTAGGTCCTTAATGGAAAAAGTTTAGGAAAACAATCAGGGTGGGGGAGACGCTAACATCTCCTATCCCCTGTCTTCATGTGTGCATGCTCAGTCGCTCAGTCGTGTCTGACTTTCTGCGACCCTATGAACTGTAGCCCACCAGGCTCCTCAGTCCATGGGATTTCCCAGGCAAGAATACTGGAGTGGGTTGCCACTTCCTCCTCCAGGGGATTTTTCCCGACCCAGGGATTGAACCCATGACTCCTGCATTGGCAGGCAGATTCTTTACCACTGAGTGACCTGGGAAGCCCCCATGCCCTGTCTTCATAGCTGGAATTCATTAACCAAAAGGAACCGAAGGGCAGTAGGAGCTACACAAAGATACATGGATACACACATGTTGAAAATGTATGTCTGAGTATCCTGATTCCCACGGGTTTTCTCACATAACTTAAAACCCAAAGAGTTCACCTCGTGCATTTCAGTCTGTAAATACATCTAGTCACAAAAAGAGAGTTTAAAAATGTTTAGTAGTAGAGAAGGCATGACGATTTTTAATTAAAACAACAACTAGTTACAACGTTAGGGGATTCAGTTCAGATTATTCCTGAGGAATCAAAAATGGCAGAGAGTGGACTTTCATCAAGCATTAAAAAGACTGATGTTTCACCCTTATTTGGAGGCTATGCATCTGTTCAAAAAATTCCAAGTTATGGGAAGGGTGGGTGCTGCCAGGTTCTCACACAAACATAAAACAAGCCATGGTAGACCAATCATTGAAATGTACATGCTGATAACCTGATGCGTTTAGGATTATGAGCACTGCAGTGACCGCAGAAAATTCCTTGACACAACATTTGTGGTTTGGCAAAAGTGTTTTCTTGGTTTCACAAGGAAGAAATCAATCAGAACAACTTGAAACAGTTTTCCTCCTTTTGGGGAAAAAACTGCCATCCATTGCAAGTACTTTTTTCCCATCCTTTTAAGCAACAACAAAAAAAACTAGTAAGGCCTTTTAACCTGCTCAGATATACTGAATTTTCAGGAATCAATGAAATCCTAAAACTTATTTTTAACCAACCTCGGAAAAAAGGAAAGCTGATGGTCAATTTTGAATAGAAAGGTGCTGCTGTTTCTCACTTCTTAAAACAATCTAGTGACATATTTAGATAACAAATGGCTTGTGCACTACAAACTACTTTATCCTATGAGTCATCTGTCATTTCATCTGGAGGAAAGATGGCCATGTCCTTACCTAAAGACTGGTAGAGCTCTGTCATTTTAGGATGGTCCCAGCAAGTTGTTTGGGTCTCGTGGCTAAAACATAAAACACAAAGAGAGACTTTAGAATTTAGAATGAATAGTAGAGAAAAAGAGAGACCAAAAAAAAAAAAAGCACAAAATGCTTTGCGATCATTTGGCTTCATGACTTCAAAGGACTTCCATCCTGTACTAACAAATTATTTTGCAACAGAAAGGCCCCTACCTTTGCTTTCAATTGGAAAAGCAATGTGATCATGATTTTGTAACTAGCATTTGCTTATTTTTTGCACCCATAAGTTGCGTGCACTTCTGTTATCAGAAAAGGGCCTGGAAATGTAATCAATAATTGAAAATCAGGGTTTCTTCAGCCATCCAACTCGGAACATACCGAAAGGACACAGACAAGGGTTGTTCAACTCTGTCAAAGAGATACTGGACATTAATTTCAGAAATCAATCTCCTCGCTTCTCACTTGCTCTCACTGCCCCTGACACGTTCCCCTTACTTTCTTCTCTGTATCCAGATCTCATCTCCATGATGATGTCAGCTTAGGGTTTATCCATTGCCCGACTCATAGATCATATCTTCCCTCTTCCCATTATTTTAGAATGTCTTTTTGACTCAGCGCTCGCTACACCACTGCACCTTTTCCTATGTTTACTTGGGCCTGAATGAAGCATTCACAGTTCCCTTCCATTTCTTGAAGTTTAGGTAAGTGTGGTTGCCGGCTATCAGCTCCTGCCACAAAAAGAACAGAACACCTTTGTTCCTCATTCAATTCCGGGAATAAACCTGGGAGAGATAACTACATATACTTTTCCTTTACTTTGGACCATCTACATAAATCACCACAGCATCGTATTTCCAGTTTTGGGGGATTACCTGGCTGGCCTTTGATGCAGTAAAATGCAGCCTTGAATGATATTTTGGTACTCATAAGCAGAACCTATTCATCATCTTTCAGGGAAAGGGGTGGGGGGCAGATGGAGAGAGGAGAAATGGCTTAAATGTGGACACTTGAAGGGGAGTAGAAAACACAGAGGCTGCTCACAGAAAGAGGAGCTTGGGGAGGCCAACAAAGTCAAGTGTAGGTGTTAAACCTTAGGATTAGACTGCCTCTGTGGCATACTAGCTGTGAAATTTGGGGCTGCCCCGCTCACCTAGGGGTGTTAAAGGATGACTTAGTATAGGTCAGTGACTGATACCTTCTGGCACTCAATATGTGGTCATTTTTGTTATTATGTGGCGCCCCCAAGTCGTTGTTTTAGTCATTCAGTCGTGTCCGACTCTTGTGACCCCCATGGACTGTAGCTTGCCAGGCACCTCTGTTTACGAGATTTCCCAAATTACTGCCCCTTGAAAGCAAAGCTTTTATTAGTTGATTATGATAGAGATGAGGATCCAAGTTTGGTAAGTCTGCCACACCTTAAGACCTTTCATGGGGGCAAAAGCAATGCTCAATATGTGCTGCCTCTGTTTTACAGAAAATATGCAAAACAGAGAAACATTTACTGTGGTCTGCTAAATAGAACACAATCACAAATGACACAAACATGTGTGGCAGTTCCCCAAGCTGCACAACTTCAGAGACCAGCCCTCTGATATTTCCCAATCAGTAAGTGAACGGTGAAGGCCAGTGAAAGAAATTTACAAGAAAGGGTTCCTTGCTGAAGGCCTGCTTCAATCTCTTTCACACCTGTCCGTTTCTGTTTGACTTTTCCACAGAGGCAATCTGCATGTGAGGAGTAGACAGGGGCTTCTCAGCCGAGGGAATGTAGCGGAGTAGAGTCCAAGTCTTGCAGAGCAAGACAAGGAAAAGATACAGCACATGCTGTAGGGAGTTTTAGAAAGCCCCATGTCAAATACATGTAAATCCATGGCTAATTCATTTCAATGTATGACAAAAACCACTGCAATGTTGTAAAGTAATTAGCCTCCAACTAATAAAAATAAATGGAAAAAAAAAAGCTTTAAAAAAAAAAGAAAGCCTCATGTCCACAATGGTTTATGATCTGGAGAAGGGGTGGGAGGGATGGGTACTTTATATGCACAGCACAAGAAGGCTGCAGCTTGCAGTTTCATAGAAAAAAAAAGTGTTGCTTATTCTCAGGCATTTTTTTTTTAAGCTCCAAACGAGACCGTGTACCAATTCTGTACACAAGTGTCCGGCAAGGAGAGGTTACCTGCTATGGAGACCACCCTGCATTTAGGCCTCTGCCATTTCCTATGGCCATCATATGTGAGCCCCAGGGTGACAGGGAGGGAGAAGAGGGAGAAAGCACATGTGTCCACATGTACAGGCTCTTATTACACACGCTGTGTAATTATAACACCCCATCTCCACCACGTGTGGGAGGACTGGAGCATCTTCAATCGATGGGCAGAAAAACATCTGTCTGAGCTGATAAACCAGACCTGACACAGACAGAGAGAACCAGTCTGAAAAGCCACCATCAGTAATGGACGTCAAATTGGGGGAACACGGGCAAGAAGTAACTTGTATCAAATGCGATCCCCAAAGAAAAGAGAAACCTGCCTCTGAGTGACAGGAGAAGAGACTGAATGGGAGCTTCAGGGAGCTCCCTCCCTCCAAAGAAGATTTCATGACTGTTGATTTACACCTCTACCTTTTAAAAAATATTTATTTATTTGGCTGCACTGGGTCTTAGTTGTGGCATGTGAGATCTAGTTCCCTGTGTGCGTGCTAAGTTGCTTCAGTCATGTCTGACTCTTTGCGACCTCATGGACTGTAGCCCACCAGACTCCTCTGTTCAAGCAATTTCCCAAGCAACAATACTGGAGTGGGTTGTGATGCCCTCCTCCAGGGGATCTTCCCGACCCGGGGATCGAACCCTGGTCTCTGGAGGCTCCTGCATTGCAGGTGGAGTCTTCGCCACTGAGCCACCAGGGAAGCCCCACTTATTTCAGTGATTAAAAATTATGAAAGCGATTTTAGAAATTATCATTTAATCCATCCATCCACAGAGAAATTGAAATGTCCATTACTTGGAGAAGGAAAACATTCTAAGCCTCCACTTCCATACTCCATTCCTGAGCTACCAGATACTAGTTAGTCCTACCTAGGTACCCATTCTCTCTCCCACTTACTTGTGGTTCTGGGGGGATCCAAATAACCTACATCAATGAACTCAAACCAGTCCAAAAGCCAATCATCATTTACTCTCCAACACACAAACCTTTTATTTTGAAGCAATGCAAAGTAACTAGAAAAACAAATCTATATTTCACCTTTGCCGGGTTAGCTTCATTTCAATTACAACCCAGCAGTAAGTGACAGAAGTGAGCATAAGTGCAAAGAAGAAAAGAATAAAGGGTGGGACTAATCCTCCTAACTAGAAAAATAATCTTTTAATCATTTAATGCTAAAAACGCCTGGCAACATAGCTGTAATGACTTCGGCTTTGGGAGTAACTATATGGAGAATCAAATACACATTTCACTGGATGTTGGTATTTTTGATGAATCCAAGGCCTGGTGGGACATATTTAACCCCCTAAACAGACAGGAAAAATGAGTATGAACAGGATGAAACGGTAAACACAAACTTGCATAAGTCCTATCTACATTCTACTTTATAGGACAAATCAATTATTGGTCTCTGATCAATACTGGTTTTACAGCTGTATTTCTGACTCTGTGCCTATCTTCAAAAACAGGAGAGGATCCTCAGTAACTCCATGAGATGCAGCTCAGGCTTACCTGGAATATACAGACAATATAGAAAAATATGCTGTGCTGGGGAGGTGGTGGTGGATGGGTGGTGGTACTGCTTTTTTAGCAACTGTCTTTTCTGCACTTCACTTTTCACATCGTTAACGCATTCCCCATATACCATGTCTAACTCAAAAGGCAATTCTGAATCCTGTTCACAAGTTAATGGTTACAGCTTTGTTCAGCCTTCCTGAAAACACTGATGTTCAACATAGATCAAAATTCCATACATGCATTCACAGAGACTAGCCTCATAAATAATCCTTAAAATGCCCTTTAAATCTTTAAAAAATGTTATTGATTTTGGCCATGCTGGTTCCAAAACCTGGCATCAGATATGCCTCTCTGAACAGCCTTCAAACTCTGATCTCCTCCCTCCGCTCTTTTTTAGTGTGTATGAGCTACCATAATCTCTATTTTGCCTTTTATTTTGGGCCATGATAAGGACGTAAAACAAATTAAAATACACAATCACTGGATGTGACAAAAGACCCCGGCAACACTTACGTGTCAATAATAAGAAATTAAAGCATTACTCCATCAAGCACAGGACTGACCTAATTTCCTGCCAAACAATTTAAATTTTCTCTCACCTTCTTTAGTTTTAAGTAGTGTGTAAGGTTATTATAACCATCTCAGAGCTGTTCCTACTACCAGTGCTGGAATATCAGACTTACTGGAATTGCTTTTTTTAGTTTCTTTAAAAACAAATACTAAACACTTAGAAAAAGTAACAAAATTCCACTGTTCTCCCCAGGAAAATGGCAGTTACCTAATTAAACTAAGATTTCTTCTGCCACCACTGTTATTTGGTACTGAAAATATTCCAAACAGTTGCCTTTTTAAAAAACATCTTTCCACTATTTCCCAGGGAGGAAAGTGATCCCTATGCAGTGATATAAAGGTAGTGTTCTCTTGTGATTTGCAGAGGATTAGAGTTTGGCTTCATATATAATCTGGAGCCCATTGATCCACACACACAAAATCATTTCCCTTTAATCTGGGGATCAGACTCTTTTTCTAGAGAAACCTTGGCATTTGCATGCTGAATGCTGAACTTGGCTGCCACTGCTGGAAGACTTGAAGGGTGGGAATGGGAAAATATATTTAAAAGTTTCTGCTACTGTGGGTATGGGGTTTAGTGGGGGTGGGTGTCAGTGTAAGCATCAGATACCCTATTCTAGTCCCCATTTCTTGTTCCCTGTGACTATTAACATTTTGTTCTGTTCGGCTCAAGCCAGGGCAAAGATGATTGTCTCCGTGACTGTTCCAGCTGTTATTCCTCTTACATTCTGTTTGCTTTTCAGGGTTTAACTCCCACC